TTCTCCAACTATCCTCCTTAGCTCGTTGAAGTTCGCCCTCCTAAAATCTAGGGCCACAGCCTGACTGCTTGCCTTTGCCACCTTGCGCTGAATGGTGAATTCCAGCAGGCAGTGGTCACTGTCGCCCAGGGGGTCAAGCACCTGCAGCCCCCTCGCCAGGTCGTTGCCCGTGGCCAACACCAAGTCCAACAAGGCATCCCCCCTGGTGGGGCTGTGCACCTCCTGGGTTAGATGAAGGTCCTGGACTCTGTCTAAGAACCTACGGGAGCACTTAGACCTGGCTGGCTGCTCCTCCCAGCAGATGTCTGGGAAGCTCAGGTCCCCCATGACTACCACATCCTTAGCCTTTGCTACCTCGGTGAGCTGATTCAAGAATTCCTGGTCAAGCTCCTCTCCTTGGTTGGGTGGTCTATAGTAAACTCCCACCGTTAGGTCCCTTTCCCCTCTTTTGCCTTGAGCCAAAGCCCAAGGCACTTCAGAGTGCTTCTCCCCTGACTCTTTACTAATTAGCGAGGATGTGTATTCCTCCTTGATATAGAGTGCTACTCCCCGCCCCTCTTTCCTATCCTGACCCTCCTGTACAGCCTATAGCCCTTGACATTCACCGCCCAATCATGCTTGGAGTCCCACCATGTTTCCATAATCCCCACAATGTCCGGGCTGGTGTCAGCCAGCAGGAGGGCGAGTTTCTCCGGCTTGTTCCCCATGCTACGGGCATTAGTGTAGAAGCATTTCAGGCCTCCCGTAGATGTGTGTATACTGACCTCCTAGTCCCAGCATTCCCAGCAGTCCCAGCATTCCCCTGGTCCCCATCTCTTACCTGTTTATCTGCTACGTTTGTCGGTCTGGGCTGGGCTGTAGTTGTGGGCGCCGTTTGGTCTGGTAGTCTGATGTATCCTCCGCCCTCATCTTCCCCTTCCACCGACGAGCCTAGTTTAAAGCCCGCCGGAGTAGGTCCGCCAACCTAAAAGAGAACACACATATGTGTGTGTATACATATGTATACACACACATACACACACCCCCACACATACACACACAGACATACACACACACATACACATAATATATATACACACACACATACACCCCCACACATATATATACACACACATATGTATACACACACAGAGACATACACACATATATATACACACACACATACACATACACACATACACACACATAATATATACACACATACACACATACATATACATATACACATATACACATTCACGTACACACGCACACAGACACATACATACACACATACATATACACACACACACACACACACATATATATATATATGCACACACATACATACACCCCCCACACATATATACACACACACATCCACTCATATATACACACACATACACATATACACACACACATACACACACATATACACATACACATATATATACACACACATACACACACCCCCACATATACATACACCCATGTACACACACCTCCACAGACATACACACACACACTTAATATACACACACATACACACACACATAGTATATACACACACACATACACACATATACACACACATAATACACATATACACACACAGACAACACACTACACAGCCTCATGAAGTTATTGGTTCTCTCTCTCTCTCTCTCTCTCTCTCTCTCTCTCTCTCTCTCTCTCTCTCTCTCTCTCTCTCTCTCTCTCTCTCTCTCTCTCTCTCTCTCTCTCTCTCTCTCTCTCTCTCTCTCTCTCTCTCTCTCTCTCTCTCTCTCTCTCTCTCTCTCTCTCTCTCTCTCTCTCTCTCTCTCTCTCTCTCTCTCTCTCTCTCTCTCTCTCTCTCTCTCTCTCTCTCTCTCTCTCTCTCTCTCTCTCTCTCTCTCTCTCTCTCTCTCTCTCTCTCTCTCTCTCTCTCTCTCTCTCTCTCTCTCTCTCTCTCTCTCTCTCTCTCTCTCTCTCTCTCTCTCTCTCTCTCTCTCTCTCTCTCTCTCTCTCTCTCTCTCTCTCTCTCTCTCTCTCTCTCTCTCTCTCTCTCTCTCTCTCTCTCTCTCTCTCTCTCTCTCTCTCTCTCTCTCTCTCTCTCTCTCTCTCTCTCTCTCTCTCTCTCTCTCTCTCTCTCTCTCTCTCTCTCTCTCTCTCTCTCTCTCTCTCTCTCTCTCTCTCTCTCTCTCTCTCTCTCTCTCTCTCTCTCTCTCTCTCTCTCTCTCTCTCTCTCTCTCTCTCTCTCTCTCTCTCTCTCTCTCTCTCTCTCTCTCTCTCTCTCTCTCTCTCTCTCTCTCTCTCTCTCTCTCTCTCTCTCTCTCTCTCTCTCTCTCTCTCTCTCTCTCTCTCTCTCTCTCTCTCTCTCTCTCTCTCTCTCTCTCTCTCTCTCTCTCTCTCTCTCTCTCTCTCTCTCTCTCTCTCTCTCTCTCTCTCTCTCTCTCTCTCTCTCTCTCTCTCTCTCTCTCTCTCTCTCTCTCTCTCTCTCTCTCACACACACACACACACACACACACACACACAATGGCAGCAGGAGTAAAAGACTCAGTGGAAGGGTTGGAGTCCAGGTGGGGAAGAGAAGCAGAGTCCAAGTCCTTGGTTGAAGGGGGTGGGGGGTGATAGCTACCTATCCAGGCTGAAAAGGGGTCCTTGTCCAGTAGGTGTTGTCCAGAGTGGGGCCACCAGCAGGGCCTCTGGGTGGATAGGTGGTGTGGCATGGTGCTGGTCCAGATGGAGAGGTCATCCCAAAGAGTCAGTCTTCACTCCCCCTTTTTATGGGGCAGACTACCTCTGGTCTCCTGTGGAGAGGACCTGTCCAGGCAAGTTCAGTTCTGTCCCAGAGGGCTCCAGGTGTTCTTACTGAGCATGTGCAGCCTTGGCACAGTGGTCAGTTGCCTCATCTTTTGTTTCTTGAATGCTGAGGGTGGTTCCAAGGGCTGGGTCCTTGGTCCAGGTGTTGGTGTTGATAGTTTGGTCATTCAGAGGGAGCTATTTTTAGACCTATTGCCATTGTCTCTCAAGCACCCTCATTCATCCCCATTCATTCAGGAACCAAGTTTCATAGGAGGGGTAGGTGTAAGTCATGGGTTACACAACCAGGCCTGGGAACAGGATGGAGACTTGACAAACAAAATGGAAACCTGACATGACTTACGCTAACTTATATATGTAGGCCTAAATCATATAGTACCAGTAAAACAGTAATATAGAACAGTAAAAATCAATATAAACATAATAATTATACAATATAAAGGAGAAAAAACAAATACGACTTGCTACCAAAATAAAATGCTGAAGCTTATCCTATGTCTTAGCTCACTTATACTTATCTATAGGGAATAGAGAGGAAAAGAAAATGTCAGATATTGTTGGGGAAGGGGAGGGAATGCATTTTAAAAGAAAAAAAAGAAAGAAAAACTGGGGGGTTTGATACAATTCTTGCTTCCAAAATTTGTTGCAAATGGATTTTTCTGACTAAACTAGAATGGAACATTTGTTGAAATTACTACTACAGTGTAATTTTTACTGTTTACACTGTCACAACCCACTTGTTTAACATACATTATTCAATACCAGGCAGACTTCTTGATTCTCTTCAATTAGATAGAACAGTAGTATGTTGGATTAAGTCATTGCATGTCTTCCTTAGGTACAATTCTTTTTAACTATAAGGCAATTTTCTATCATAGAAGGAACTAATATAAATTTGTTACTAACCAACAGCTGTGTTAAAAAAAAAGTATAGAAATTATGAGGTCAAATTTTCCTCTTTTTTACATCAATTTTATCCTAGTGCAAATCCAGCAACTTCAACCATGTTACTCTTAATTTAGCTGGTATAACAGAGTAATGGCCTGTTGATATATGTGGCATTGTTTCTGTTTAAAGCAGAAAATATTTACACATTGTAGTTTATAGTGAAAAATAATAATATTTATTATTCAGGGGCACCTACAAACTCCCATTATGAGCCAGAGCTCTGCTGTTTGATTGATATACAAATGTTGCTGTTGGCTCTGGTGATACCTTGATATAAGAAAGACAGACTTCCAGTAAATAGGGAAGTAATCGGTGAGTCCCAAGATGACTGAGAAAGCAAAACCAAGATCCGCGCGTATGATTGCAGGTGTGGCAAACAGTTCCAGGAAAAAAGAATAGATCCTAGTAATGTGGGGCCATAGGTGTTTCCATTTGTCTTTCTTGTCTATCTTCCTCTATCTTGAGTTGAGTTTGCTCAAAATGCTTGAAGCTTTGTAGTAAGTTCTAGGGGTATGCGAAACAGGCCGTATTTAATTCGGATTTGGCCTGAATCAGGGACAGTGATTCGATTAATTGATTCAGATCACTGTCCTGATTCGATCTGGCCAAATCCGAATCTGAAGATTTGATGCTGGTTCAGGGAATCAGTGATATGGCCATAGACACAGCTTTAAATGTTTTTTCTATATACCTTGAGGTACCAGGTATGGCTCATGAATGCTGTGATGGTGGGGCAGATGGAGCATCTCACAGAAGCATGGGGGGCCCAGTACAGTATTTCCAGTCCATGTCTGGGTCTGCCACCGAGCACATGGGGGGCCCCCCTGCACCCGCCCCAGCTCAGCGATTGGCTATGAGGGGAACCTGGGTGCCCCCCACAGATCGAAGGCACCGGTTGCTGAGCCAGGGGAGTGCACCCCCCCCCCCCCCCCCACCGCCCCCCCCCCCCCCCCAGCCTCTCCTGCCATGATTTTGCTGGAAGTGGACTGGAAGTCCTTCTGGTCCACTTCTGGGTCTGCTGCTGAGCATGCTGGGGACCCCTGCCTGCTCCTGTGGGATGCTGCATCTGCTCCAGCATCTCAGCATTCACAAGCTGCCTGGTACCTTGAGATACGTAGAAAAAAACATTTAAAGCTTTGTCTATGTCTGAATTGTCACATCTTTCCAAATCTCTCCGAATCAATTCGGAGGGTTCTGATTTGATTTGGAGAGATTAAAGGGTCTCCTGATTGGATTTGGAGATTCAGCCACCGAATCAGGCTGAATGTCCACTGAATCGAGTCAGTGGCCAAAGCTTCGCACAGCCCTAGTAAGTACATCATGGCACCACTGATGACAATTCAGTACTTGAATCTCCCATATACTGATAATAATATTGCATTTCTTCAAATTGGCTTTCAAGGTGTCCTTGAATCTCTTCTTTTGCCCACCTCTAGACCAGAGACCATCAGTGAGTTAGGAGTATACAACCTGTTTGGCAGGTTGTCAAGCATCCTTATGACATGTCCTGTTCAACAGAGCTGGTGACATAAATATGGCTTCAGTGCTGGTGGTGTTTGCTTAAGCCAGAACACTGTTTTTTGTTCTTCTAGCCTTCCAATTGATAAGGCATCACACTTATGGTAACTTTCCAAAGATTTCATAAACACAAACAAACTGAACCAAAAGATGGTCATTGTTCCAAAGAACTTAAACTATTAGTACCATTATGTACAGAGTATT